CATCATTTGTCTTTGTCACTTCTCTGTAGTAGGCAACGGCGGCGTATGCAGTCGGCGATGCGTCGCAGAACACGTGCAGTTCTATGGTGGTCTCTTTCACCCTTGTGTCTTCGCTACGAGCAAGCCTCGGTAAGTTTTCATTTTCTATTTCGTTCTCAGGTCTGTTTGTAAGAAAATGATATCTTGGTATGCGCAAGCGTTGAAGCTGTCTGAGTTCGATTAGCCAGTTTTGAAAAATTTTATTTTCTTTTTCAGGTATAGTCTCATCCCATTTTATATTCATCTTCCAAATATTCTGTAGTATTATTTTTGCTTTTACTATAAATGGAGCGAGGAAACCAAAAATGTCAAATATAGACATAACTATGCGCAACAGTTCTCTTTTGGTAGGTATTTTTTGTAAATTTATTATTTCTTCTGGTATACGCTTGAGCGATAAGTCAAAACCAAAGGTGTCGCTTAAGGGGAACCAAAGCAGTCCTAGAGTACGTTCAGGTAAATCATCGCAATCAGTTTTCATCCTTATGGCCTTATCACTTAAGATCGCTTTTGGTGTGCACTCTAAGACTTCGGGTCTGTTGCATATCCAGTTTCTTATCTCAAAGCCACCTGAACTATGAATTTTTGACACTTCTTTTATTAATTTCAAAGCTGTATGTACATCATCAACAGATTCTATGTAATCGTCCATATAATGTGATTTCAGGATGGCTTCAGTGGCTTCGGGCATTTCTTTTTGAAATCTCAGCGCATTTTTATTTTTAATATGTTGCGCTATAAACGGAGAGCAGTTGGCGCCAAATATCAATGAAGACATGGCATAAATATTGAAGTTGCTCTTATTATTTTCTCGCCACAAAAAACGTAAACAATGCTGATCTTCTTCATTTATTTTTACACGAAGGAACATGTCTTTGATATCACCTATGAATGCAATAGGCTTTTCTCGAAATCGTAGCATGATGCCCAGTAATGATTGTAGTAAATCAGGTCCCTGCAGCAGATAATCATTGAGCGAATGACCTTCGGTGGTGGCGGCGGCGTCAAAAACCAATCTTAATTTATTTTTATTAGGATTATCCACACCGAAATGCGGCAAATACCAAATCCGTTTTCTATGCATTGAAATTTCATCGGCAGTCAACTTTCGTGCGTAATTGTTTTCAAATAAATGACTCATCCTTTGTTTATATCTTGTAGCATAATTTTCGTCTAACTTCATTTTTCTCTCAACACCTAAATATCTTTTATAGGCGCTGTTAAAACTATTTGGCATTGCAAGATCATTTTTCCACGGTAAGCAAATTTCCCATCGTCCATCTATTAACTTGGCAGATTTGTCGATACAGTCGTTGCGCGAAGTTCATCCTTATTCACTCGTGGCTTAGAGTTCACTCCTATTGCTTCGAATGCAAACGAACGCCGTACTAGCTCATGCAGTTGTTTACATTCTGCGTTATCAATGTTATCTATGTGCCCTTTTTCATTCCAGTTTTCTCGCAGTTGCGTCGAGGGAGACGATGCACCGGCGCATGTGTGTGTGTCACTTCGTGCGCGCAGCTGCTCGCTGGCGCTGGCGGCGGTGGAGAGGGGTGCGACGGATACGGTTTGAATACGAGCGCCGGCGGCCGGTGGCGACTGCCCCATCAGTGTCATAACGCACTCGTGCTCAGGCTCAGTTGCAAATGACCGACGGTGATGGAATGTACTAGCGGTGGAGGGCGCAATTCCGTGCACACACCACCCCAGTGGTGTAAGGGTTGCGCACGGTTCGTTCTTGCCACGGTAGACTGTCTTTAACGAAACTAAAAGTTGGTAATTGTCCTGCCCTATTAATAACTTAGGCTTCACATCACTAGTGCACAAATAATGTTTTAAATTCCGTAAGTGTTCGTATGCGTCGACGTTTATTTTCGATAGGCACTGCATAGGTAGGTCCAGTACTGATCATTGTTATTGTTTGACAGTTTCAGATTCACTATTTTACTTTGACACACTATATCGGAATTCCACGCACCACGGATTCGTATTGTTTCAGTCTGACCTTTTAAATTAATATAGTTCGCGAGATCAGCTGATATTAACGACACTGTAGCTCCGTCGTCTAATAAAGCGTGCGTACTTATAACACCTTTAGGTCCATGAATGTTCACGCGCACTATTTTTAACATTACACTTGCGTTTTGCGACGTTGTTGTAGTAGTGTTCGTAACTGTTTCGCGAGCAGAGTCATTATTAATTTCACTGTAACTTGTTGTCACTAAGTTTGTAGCATTATTAGGGACGTCGTTATTATTAGGGACGTCACTCGATGACGCGGTCTTCTTTGCAGGCCAATGGAGGAGGCGGTGATGAGCCATACCACACTCTTCGACATCACACGGCGCGGCAGAACAGGCCTCCTTACTGTGACCGGGCAGCAGGCAGTTATGACAGAGTTTGTTTACTTTTACTATGCGCCACTTGTCTTTTCTTAGAGCTCGTTTGAATTTGTTACAGTTTATAAGCTGGTGGGTGGCAATTCGGCAGAATATGCACTTGGTACTCGGTTCACTGTTATGCAGCACGTGAACTTGAGTTTTGCGCTCATCATACTTCTTGTGAATTCTGTAATCTGCTTGACTATAAATGTGACTTATTCCAGCAGAGGCTACCTTCGTGGCTTCTTTGTGCAAAAAATCTGCAAATATTTGTAACTTGGCTTTGTTATCCTCTTGATGCTCATATAAATAATCCACCCACTTATTTATCAGTGTACTGGGGCACTTGGACACGACTGTGTTAAGTAATTCTGGGCTTCTCAAGTAATCAGTTTGCTTGATAGATTCGGCGGCTGCTACGTAGTTCCTTATTTTAACAGCAAATGTCACTAAATCAGTGTGGTAAGTCTGCGGCAGCGGCTGTAGTTTCTTGAGTTGACTACTGATTTTATAAATAATTAGCTCTGGTCTTCCAAAACGCAGTTCCAGTGCTTCCAAAATCACACTCGGTTTTGTGTTGCAAAGAAGTAGTGAGGATACTGCCTCTCTTGCTTCGCCACGCAGACTTTTAGTCAGTCTCGAAATATTTTCAATGTCACTAAAATTGCATAGTTTAGTGGACTCTTCATAAGTATTTTTATACTGCAGCCACTCGAATGGGTCTCCAAAAAATAATGGTAAATCCTTGGGCGTAGCTAGTCTTGATAGCAGTTTTGACTGTGCGCTGTAGGTGACTGTAGCCATCTGTTCCATAGCTCGTGCGAGTTGCTGAAGATCCGAAGAGGAGGTGACGGCGGGGGGCGCCGGCGGCGGAGATGCCGCGCGCTGTCGCTGTGACTCCTGTTGACTTCTATCAAGCCATTCTTCCACTTTATTTGTAGTTTCAGCAAGCGAGTCTTTTATACTGCACTGTGACTTCCGCGATGACCCACCTTCAAGAGCGGCGAGTTGGGCTTCTAACCTTTTTTCAATAAGTTTCTTTTCAATTTCAGCCTTTGCTTCAGCTGCTTCTAGTTCTAATTGCTTCCTACGTGCCGACAAAGAAGATTTGCAGGAACTTTTCTTCGATTTAACTGATGCTTGACCGGTAAGTTCGATTTTCAAGCTACCTACTTTTTTCGACATCTGGTTGGTAATTTCTTCGAGTTCATTTTTTGGAACTATTGCTATGTCGGATTGCACTTTGCGTGAATGCACTTCACTTTTATCCTCAATGGTATGAGACAACACTTCTCTTACGAGAGCTCCACGCGTTTTAACCATCGTGCGCGGCGGTGTGTTGAACATTCCTCTGTGCATCTACTGTAATATATAGGTTCCAAAATCCTGGATGATCCGGCTGAAGAACCACTTTGTACGCGATGTAAGTTGGCGCGGTGACCAAGGACTTCGAAAATAATAACGCAGTAGATACTGTGCGAAGAGCTTTCGGGTGCGGCATGCGTGCGTGTGCTTGCGTCGGCTATGGCTTAGCAACTGTCTTAGTAACTTATATGCAACCGTTTATTCGATCAACAAAATCAAAGCGCATTCACACACATGCTCGTACCCTACGGCATATTTATTAAATTATAAAACGCAACATATAATTAATGCAATTAACAAATATCGAAATGGACGAAATGTATGATTGAAAGTAAAATGACAAATTTAGCTTAGTTATAGATATTACATATTAAATGATGGGTATGATTTAAAGATGCGCGTCGCGTCGTCTACAGTATGTGAACGCCAAAAAGAAATATTGCTAATATTTTGTGTTTATATGATAAAACAATGCCTAAGTGTGTTTTTAAAAAGTGCTAAAATTGCTCAAGAACTAAAAATAAAACCCACGGCATCACTTTTCATTCGTAAGTACTATAAAATATATTTTTTCAGAAAAAATGCTGTTTGTTTTGAATCTTATTCGGTAGTGACGTCGAGTACTGGTCGCGTGATTGGCCGGTAGTGCAGTGACGCGGATATCGCCGTCTCGTTCGCGCTGCCGTTGAAACTTAACGTGCTGTTTCGTTCGGGTCGGTAATGCAGTGACGCGGATCTCGCCGTCCCGTTCGCGCTGCCGTGGGATCAGTTTTTGTTTGATGCAAGTATGAGCGTACCGTATCTACCCTTTTTGTTTTAATATAAGATTTCCTATAAATGATTGTAAGTGGTAATGACAATTCATAACAAAGCCTTTGAATTAAAATAAGATTAACAGTATAGCTACCAGCGCCTTTGCTAATATCCACTTGCTGAAATAATTTAGCAACTGATTCAGAGATGTCAATACTGAAGATTTTAAACAACGGTTATTACGTTACTACATTTCGAATGATCAATATTGCTAGTTTTACTATGGGACACGAAAACGGAATTAAAATATTCATTATTGGGATAGTTTCAATATCCGTTGATGTCTCATTCATTATTGAAGCTCATGTGTAAATGATGTAATGCCAATAAAAGATTTAAATTAAAACAAAAATTAAACCATGAAATTAAATTTTATTGATAATTATGTTCTAAAAAATGTTTTTAATATCGATAGTGCTCTGGTTTGTAAGGTCCTTCAACAGAAACACCAATGTACTTTGCCTGTTTTGGTGTCAGCTTTGTAAGTTTCACTCCAAGGTGGTCCAAATGCAATGCTGCAACTTCTTCGTCAAGTTTTTTGGGTAAGGTGTGGACACCTACTGGATAAACATTATGTCTGGTCCAGAGCTCAATTTGCGCCAACACTTGGTTAGTAAAAGAGTTGGACATTACAAAAGAAGAGTGACCGGTTGCACAACCTAAGTTTACCAGTCTACCAGCTGCCAGAACAATTATGTGATTTCCATTTTCTAGTTCATAACGGTCAACCTGGGGCTTGATGTTAACCTTTTTAGCATTGTTTTCAAGCCAAGCAACATCAATTTCACAATCAAAATGACCAATATTACAAACAATTGCATCATCCTTCATTCTTAAGAAATGATCTTTGTTTATTATGTCGATGTTCCCAGTGGTTGTAACAAATATTTGCCCTGTTTCAGCAGCTTCTTCCATCGTAGTCACATGAAAACCTTCCATTGCTGCTTGAAGAGCATTAATAGGATCAATTTCAGTGACAATGACTCTACCACCAAAGCCTTTGAATGCTTGAGCGCAACCTTTTCCAACATCACCATATCCTGCAACTACACAAACTTTTCCTGCTATCATAATATCTGTTGCCCTTTTGATACCATCTAAAAGTGACTCTCTGCAGCCATACAGATTATCAAACTTGCTTTTAGTAACAGAGTCATTGACGTTGATGGCTGGCACTTTCAACGATCCTTCTTTGAACATTTTGTACAAATTGTGTACACCAGTAGTAGTCTCCTCCGACAGTCCCTTAACGCCCTCCAGTAACTGGGGATACTTTTTATGTATTAAATTTGTAAGATCACCGCCATCATCTAGTATCATGTTAAGGGGCTGAAATAAAAAAAAAATAATTGAAAATGATTCCCTGTAAGTATACCAGTATTGGTCCCATTCAAATATAAACTATATGCTAACTGGACATACTTATTCCAGAAAAAAAAGCAGCCCACAATAAATTCACTTTGGCATTAATGGCCCCTATTACATTTGGTCGGTATCCCGTATTCGGGTACACGGAAGACATTACTCGAATTCAGGCACCAGAAGTAAATTTTACGCGCTGGAATACGGGGTGGAAGACGGTGTCAGGTAACTAAAACGAAAACGATCCGAATTCGGGCGTACTCGACTCCGTTCATTTCCACTTAGTCGTTTACCCGAATTCCATTGGCACTCGTATTCGGGCTAGCGACCATATGTAATCGCGCCATCAGTTTCAAATTTTCTCTTTTTTGTTTAGTACTACCTAATCAAAATACCGATGTGTTTTCTAACGTTTCGAACAATGATATTAAATACCCTAGACTAGATACACCAACACGAACAAAATCGTACCCGAAACCTGTCCAAAAGGTACATTGAACGATCCACGGCGCTACCTAAGATATCGGGTAATCAAAAAAAATATAAGGCATTATTTAAACATTATAAGTCACCTTTAATACCTACTGTATAAGGTCTTAATTAAAATGCATGCGTCAAAGAGTTATGACAGTTCGAAATGCAAGCTTGTACATTTCTACGACTTATTGCTATTTGTGGAAGAATATAGACCTTATTCTTTTGACTCTACGCGCAATTCTGAGTGCGCTGTTAGCAATATAGCAGGTACGGACCGCGAGGAAAAGAGACGGCTATACGGCGACGTATAACCGACCATGCATTTGAATATCACAAATATTTTATATTAAATCAGTTTATAGTTAGCATTAGAACAAAATTTGCTACAAATGCGTGAAATTATAAACATTGATATTTTTCGTACTATACAGAGATGTGACATTTTTAAAATAAAAGTATTTGAAATGCAAAATACAAAATGTAAAATACCTATTTCCATTTTGTATTTAAATGATACCGAGTAACTGCGGGATACTTTGACCTAAAAGGTGCACTTTTTTTTCAAATAAAATTGTAGCTTCTCTTTGTGATGAATATGTCACGTTTATATCTTTCCATTGTGAACTTTAAAGTTTAAGTTACAAAGTTATCATACGAAAATAGGAAAAAATAATATTAAAGGGTTAATATATATTTTTTTAATTTTGGGCCAAAGTTGGCCTTAAAGAGGGTTACTTTAGGTCGTTGAGTTTTCTCTGTGAAAAAAACTCATTTTAAGCCATGTTGGGGTTAAGTAACCTTTATAACAGATCACCATTTGTATATTGAATACACAAATGGATGATTTTGCCCAAAAATAATTAAGTTAAATAAAAAAATAACTCGAAATTTAGAAAAAATAGTAAACTTACCGAAAACCACAGTTTTGAGAAAGTTTGCGCATGAACTTGCGAACTATTTCAGTTACAAAAAAATCCCGCGTTACAATGACAACTTGATACAGGAACGATGTCGGTAAAACAACACCACACTACGCGCCTGTGATTTCCAACTGGAACTATTACGGTCACCCAAGAGATACTGATGGGGCGGCAAGAACAATATTTTTTCTGATTTGGGACAAAGTTACCTGCCCGAGCTTAAGTAACCCTCACTTACGGTACTTTTTTTTAAAAAGCATTTTATATTTTATGTGAAATACCTTTTAGGACATATTTTGTATTTGCAAAATACCTACTTTTTGCTATGTTTTGTAAACACCGAAGAATTAATAATTAATGTGTTACAAATACAATCTTCAATTACAATATTGTTACAGTAACTATGTAACTTGGTCTGATCAACTTCGTTTATTATCGACTCTTTTCGCATGAATTCGGGATTATTTTGTCACCTTACCGTGCGGTCGTTCCAGTGCTGCCATTTTAGCGCTTTGCGCGCTAGATCTAGCGCTTTTTGGTGTGGTTAGCGCCTATTTAAAAATTTTAGCGCCTGACGGATAATCTGGCGCTTTTTCATTTATGTCACTCTAATAGAGATAATTTATGACCTCGGCAAACCCCTCTATTATTTTTTTATATCAGAACTATACCTATCTGTCGTTTTGTCGCGATGTATAGACACCGTTCTCACTCTAATTGTACTACTAAATGTATGAAACCGATTTAACTGTGTGATGCGTCACAGTGTATTTGAGCTAGAGATGTGCCGAGTCAGGCTGACTCGAATACCTAGCAGGTACTCACGTACTCGAAATATGGTATTCCACTACTCAGTCGTTGTACTAGTACAGTGAAGTTAGTAACGTGATTTGAACGTGTTTATGTTTCCTACTCGGCCGATCAGTTAAATGAGATGTTAACAATAGTTTAATTACATATTTGTTTCTTATAAGTAATTATCTAGGTATTTTAACCTATTACACCTTAGTTAAAAGAAATAAAACCTACTACAAAAGGAATAAGCCATTGAACATTATGTTCTAAAATCTGTTACACATTTCCGTTCCATTACACGAAATCACTCCCACTTATTGCAGGAAAGCGAGAGGAAAGATGTCACACATCAAAAATAAGCAAAATGAAAACGAAAGCATGGATGAGAGTTCTGATTTGGACTTGGAGTCATTAGACTCAATAGCATCGACATGGAGCTTATTAATATGATGATTATAATAATAATAAATGACTGATTATACATTTAATCTATTATTATTAACATATTTTCCTATCATTCTTATAATGTGATTTTTAATGATGATGATGAATCAAATTTCAAGGTCCGATTTAAAAAATACTCGAGACCAGTAAAGTATTCGAATACTCGTGCCAGTACCCTTAGTACGAGTTTGTGCTCACGAAAACTATCATAGTTTTCGTAATTGTAAATTATGTTTCTATGTTCATTTTGGTGAAAAGTGTCCAAATATACTTAAAATTTAAGAACACACAAATTATTTAATGATACAATTTAAATACTGTTTATTTGTATTGAAACGAAAAAAATAAAATCAACGAGTGCGAGTTTACGAAAACTATCATAGTTTTCGTAAATTGTAAAACTCGTACTAAGGGTACACTACTCGAATACCTGTCCGGAACTTCCGACTCGTGTCCTAATTCGAATCGTTTTTAACGAGTACTAAAGTACCCGAATACTAAAAATAACCGACTCGGCACATCACTAACTTGAGCAAATTAAATAAATAAATAAATTATTAAAATCGGTCTCCGGATGAACTTGGATAAAACCAAGGTCATGTTCAACAAGCTCGTTGATCCGGGACTGGTTGCTGTTAATGGAGTACCTCTCGAAGTTGTTCAGGAATATGTCCTAGGACAAACGCTCCGATTAGGCAGAAACAACTTTGAGAGAGAAGCCAATAGAAGAATTCAGTTGGGATGGGCAGCATTTCATAAGCTTCGTCAAGTCTTCTCGTCACCCATCCCTCAATGTCTTAAGTCGAAAGTCTTCGACCAGTGCGTCCTCCCAGTTATGACATACGGCGCCGAGACGTGGACACTCACGGCTGGACTGGTCCACCAGTTTAAAGTCGCTCAGAGAGCTATGGAAAGGGCTATGCTCGGAGTATCCCTGAAGGACCGCATCAGAAATGATGTAATCCGACAGAGAACCAAAGTCACCGACATCGACATCGCCCACCGAATTAGCAAACTGAAGTGGCAGTGGGCTGGTCACATTAGCCGCAGAACTGACGGCCGATGGAGCCGTAAAGTTCTTGAGTGGAGACCGCGACTCGGTAAACGTAGTGTGGGACGCCCTGAGACAAGATGGGTTGATGACATTCGTAGGCTGGCTGGAGTGGGCTGGATGAGAGTGGCAGAAAATCGGGAGCAGTGGCGTGCATTAGGAGAGACCTATGTCCAGCAGTGGACGAGCATGGGTCGATGATGATGATGATGATCAAAGTAAATTTACCTGATGTATCAAAATAAAGATAATTTAAAACTAAAAGTATTTTATTTTAATAAAGCATTTTGTAAATACGTATTTTGCATTTAGTATTTTAAATATAAAATGAAAAACTATTTTGTATTTGAAATAACAAAATACAAAAGTATTTGCATTTTGCATTTTAATACATTTCATAACCTATTTTGCACATCTCTGATACTATAAGTATTTTTTTCGCATTTTTCACGGAGCTCTGTGGCATCTTGACTTTGTAATGGTCCGCGCGTGACTGTAAACCAAAAAGTGCTTGAGTGGAGTTCAAGCAATTCTTGATTGGGACACATTTTGAGCGCTCGTGGTGTATCTAGGGTATAAAATATCGTTGTTTCGAAATTGAAAAATTTTCAACAGTCAAAATCTCGACGTCTTTTATTACAGTGGACAATATTTGTTACTATAACATAAAACCGTATATTTAATATTAAATATGGTACTACCACACAAAATATTACAGTGGACAATATTTGTTACGATTACATAAAACCGTATATTTAATATTAAATATGATACTACCCCAGGAGAGAGACGCTAAAAGCGGAGAGTCCCTCTCTGCATGCAAGGTGATATCAGTCCCTCAGCGTGTCCCACAGTGAAAAATTACCTTTCCATCAGCAAAAATTAGCGTTTGCTCAATACACCAGGTGTACTCTTCCTCAGTTTCTCCTTTCCAGGCATATATAGGTATACCTCTAGCGACCAGAGCTGCTGCAGCTTCATCTTGTGTACTGTAAATATTACTGCTGGACCACTGCACCTAAAATCATCATATACATTATTATCAGCCATTAATATCCACACAGCTAAGGAACAGTCAGTGCCAGACTAAGAGGTGTAGAAGCCCTGGGGCCGGGGCACTTATGATTTGCATTGTCAAACACATTACCTATATTCTTCTCAGAGGTCCCATCTATCTCCTGCTCAAATTCATAAAAAGATCTAGTGGGTTAGACGCAAATGTGTTACAGATAGACACGATACTCCATTTTCCTATATTTTGTATACTTCTCAGACTATCTAATCTTATATATAAAATTCTCGTGTCGCATTGTTAGTTACCATACACCTCCTAAATGACTTGACCGATTTTATATGCATATTCAGTAGGTCTGAAAAACTGCTACTGGGTTGTTCTTCTTTTTAACCTACAAAAAGGTGTCTTCATCCGTTATAAAAAAATATAATCAAAAATTATCGGTATTATTTTATAATTCATGTATCAATGTGTACTGTAGTAAAAATGTAACGACTATACACGTTTAAAATAAATAATAATTTCTATTTGAATACTAAAAATAATGTTACAGAGTCGTCAATCCGCGTGACAGAGGTGTATTCCATACAAATCACAGTTGTCTCCCGCTACCTGGGCCTGTGTATAATTCATAATAGTACGAAAAATATAAAAGACAGTAGCAAATATAAAAGTATTTTTTAATGCTGAAAGATATAGGCCATTTTGTAATAGTGACTATTTTTTTTTGACATTTTTAATAAAAGAATAAAAAAATCTTATAATCTCGTCTCTCACTACAGACTGTTTCTAGTAGGTATATTCGGTCACGTGCTTTTTCGTTCGAACGACGCGTATACGCAGTTCGCTTTTCTCGCTGTCGATAGGATATTTAGTTCCCCCTCCCCCTCGCTGGGATTACCTCTGCAAGGCCGAGAGATCGCGCGTTAGTCGCCCGGAAGCTGATTAAGAATGTGTGTGTGTTTATTCGGCGACAACTTCGTCACATAAGTATTGGACAAAAATATATTAATTATAGTTACTTCTTATTATTTAACTTTTACGTAATAATAAACACTTTCGTGCCAACCTGTAAGATTTGTATTATGTGGTAACGTTTAATTATTATCGTTTTTGTAAGTAAGATTTACCCCTCCGTCATGCTACAACTCCGTAACAAACAAATTGTGACGGAGTGGTAAAGTACGTGACGGAGGAGTAAAAAATGGCAAGGAATTCAATATTATCTCACAAAATATAAGAATCTGTTGAAATAGGACTAGTACTTATTATCGTAACTGTTTCGATATGAAGTTTATCTAATGTTTACATACTTATTTATATATTTTCTTTTTTAAAAGACAAAAAGACAGCGGCGTTGCCGGGAGAAACAAAAAAATGATCCAGAAAAAGTAGCTGAAGTGAAACGCAATGATCTCGAGAGATATCATACTCGTAAGAAGCTTGTGGCTGACATGACCGTGAGAGAGCATCGTATGATGAAAAGAAAATGGCAACAACGAAATAAAAAAAGAAAGGAAAACAAATGCTTGAAAACGTACTATTGAACACGCCGGCTCCAACGCCAATACCAGTAGATCCACAAATGCGTCTTTATTCTGCAACACCAACTAATTCAGAAGTATCTAGCTCAAGGGGGAGGAAAAGAATTCTAACACATCGCCGATATCTTTGCCTCTTGCTACAATAGCATCAGCTTGGCGTTTCAAAGCTCCGCCAATACCATCAGCAGCTCCGTTTCCATGTCCTGATTCAAAAAAATTCCAAGATATTTTATGAAAGTTGTACTGTTCAAAAAACCGGTACGCCATTAGGTAAAAGTTAATCTTTTCCTTATACTAGGTAGCTGGTCCATCTAAATAAAAATGTACAGTCGTTACAGTTCGATGATTTGTTTAAAGGTGAGCCCAGATCGCAGAAGGCCTATGGTTACCAGCAAAATTAAATGTTTTTGGTGGCACACGAAGACATAGACAACGTAGACTCTTCCAAGCAATATTTTACCCCTAAAAGGAACCATGCAAATCCATCAAATGTTCTCAGAAACTCGTGGAATCTTAAACTATAGGCTCTGAGTTGTTTTTGTGAACAATTCTGTTCGTTTCACGTTCCTTAAACTTACTACACGTTGATAACATATTTTGGACCACTTGTTTCCTAACGATAAAGACGACGTTGTAATTCATGAAATGGAGGATTTGTCGCTCACTGATATTAGGAACAAAATTAGGATGCCTCGAAAAAGTTTTTATGATAATGTGTATGGCCCGGATGAATCATCTGTTGAAGACCAGCCATTGGCTACATATAAAAACAAAGATTCCTCTAATCCAACTGCCATTTCTAGTACTTCTTATGAAACACTTCACCTTGGGGACATACATCCAAGGAATATAGAAGACGGTGTATATGTACTCGTTAAAGTAAAAAGTGAAACGAAGTTTCAATACACATACGCTGGAGTAGCAAAAAGTAACGTTGACGAAGAAGGCAATGTTCTGGTGATGTTCCTGAAAACAGTCGATGATTGTGGGAGATTATTTAAATTAGTGGAGAATGTGTTATCGGATGTTCCGTATGAGGATTTGATTAAAATTCTACCAAATCCAAAGGTAGCTAAAAAAAGAAGACAGTTTTTCAAATTTCATGAGCCTTTGCCAGTGTTTGAAAAGTAAGACTGGTTAGGACTAGTATGACTTGTGGAGAAAGTAATTTGTTGTTGATGATTATTATTTTATTTTAATTTTTCAGGCAATTTGAACATTATTTTATATTTTTATTTAGTTGAGACAAGTCAGAAGTCTTATAATTTAATTATACTATAATACTGATCTCTCATTCCAAAGGTTCTGCAATATGATTTTATTAGTATGTAAGTATCTTGATTTTAAGAAAGCGGAAGACTTTGAATAATAAGAAATAAAATTATACCAAAGAAGTAATAAATGATTCTAAATAAGTACATATAAAACCGATTTTATTCCAACATACAACCTAATATTTTATAGAATAACAACTCTGTCACACACTCTACCACTCTGTCATGATAATGTCTCCTGGTTTTAAAATGTTTATAGCAATTTTTATATTTTGTTATGAATAGTACAATTTCGGAAAAATCATATTAAAAATAGTTAACTATAATATAGTCTACGATATTAATATTTCTATGCTAGAAGTGGTTAAAATTGAATTATAGCAAAAATATACTTCAAACTAGCTGCAATTGTGACAGAGTGGTATAAGATTGAAAATATATATTTATTATAATATGCAGAAATTTTGCTTTGTATGTTTTCTAAAAGGACCATTTGATTATTATTGTAATAAATAATTTGCAAGTTATCTGAGTTAAACTATTTGATACAAAAAAATAAAAGGTATTGTGACGGAGGTGTACAATTATTAGCCCAATCCATCTTTAAGACCTTGAAAATCTTATAAAAATTTGTAAACTTCGCGGCCAACCACTTTTTCAGATAGAATAGACATTCTGCTGCCAGAAAACATATAAGATTTGACTAGAAAGCGTTATAATTTTTTTTGAAAATTTGAGTAAAAATTTTACCAACATGTAGGTTAAAAAAAAGAATGACCCTACTATCTATTTTTCATAACCCTAAGTGATAAGGATTGTCCACTCCTAAATTTTTTTTTTTATATTTTGGACATTTGTTTTTATAATGTGGCATTAAAAATACATACAACCCTGAATGTTCACCCTTCTATCACCAACCCCTATTTTTATGGCGGTACGAAGTTCGCTGGGTCAGCTCTATTAGCTGACTGCACCGTATATATAATTCTCATGTCACAGTGTTTGTAACAAAACTCCTCCGAAACGGCTTGGACGATTCTAATGTGTGTGTATATTCAATAGGTCTCAGAATAGGACGTAAACTATTTTTCATATCCCTAAGTCATTCACTTAGGGGTCCACCCCAATTTTTTAATATTATTTTTTATGATTCGGCATCACTACATAGTATAATGCAAAGTCTCTTCCCGCTGTCTGTCCCTATGTATGCTTAGATCTTTAAAACTACGCAACGGATTTTGATGCGGTGTTTTATAGATAGAGTGATTCAAGAGTAAGGTTTATATGTATAAAACATGCATAATATAGTAGAGAAACACTGATAATTTTAGAGGTTTTTTATTTAAGGTAAATAAACACATTTTTTTGCGCTTACATTGCAAACGCTGGCTGAACCGTACGAGATAGTCTGAGAACAAAAACTATAGTCTACACTACAGCTCTACACCGAAGCGAAGCGAGGGCGGGCCACTAGTTGAAAAATATATACAACCCTAAAATTTCACTCTTCTCCTACCAACCCTATTTTTGTGGCAGTATGAAGTTCGAGGAGCTCAATATCGCAAGTGATTAGCGCGTTAGGTTGCGATCGTTGAAGTTAAGCAACTTTCGCACTGGTCGGTCTTTGGATGGGTGACCAAAAATTAACTATCTCGAGCTCCTCCGTGCTTCAGAAGGCACCTTAAGCAGATGGTCTCGGCTGCATCTGCAGTCGTTAGCACCCACCAATCAGCATTAGGCCCGCGTAGTGGGCCCAGTCAGTGCCCGATCTAGAAATTTAGCCGCTCCGGGCAAAGATAATTTTTGCCTCCCTTTAGGCACATATCCTAACACCATTTATGATGAGAGTTATTATGTTAGTACGTAATTATGTAAATGTCGTGGCCATATCGTAGATTTGATCACTTCATGAAATGCTCGAGAATTTCATGAAATGGTCGCATTCCATGAAATGTTTCACTATCTATTGGCCACATCATGATGTGGTTTGGGCAGATCAATGATGAGAAATCGTTTCACGATATGGCCAACTAAACGCGTGGCTGCTTCATGAAATGGAAAAACTTATTTGATCATATTGTAAAGTAGTTATATTAATTACCGGGAAAGGCGCTGCAAGCGCTTTGTTTATATATTTATCGCTGCCGACAATGTTGTTTCTCGCAGTGAAAAAGTGCATAATTCG